CTCGTTCCTGTTCCTGTATTTTTTGAAGCGCAAGCTGGCGTTGATACTGCAACACCATAAATATAACTTTAGCAATAACAGAAACACTCCATACTTTTGAGATCCACTAAGTCAGAGAAGGAAGAGCATATATCAAAGTCCAGAAGAATAAATACGTGCACAAACATGTAACAACAGTCACTGAGACTAGAAGGAAATTTACATGTTAATATAGGAAATGAATGTGGTATAACACTAATCTCATCACCATAATGAATAGTTTAATTCCTATGGGTGATGACAATCTAAAATATTATGCAATAATTAATTTTGTTGTTCAACGAAACATCAAGAAAAATTTGAAATATGCAACCTATTTTCTACATTTTGTCCTGAGGTGCGTGCTCATTAATTTATCTAATATAAAAGTAAATTTAAAAATACAACTTATCTAACACCAATTTTATTTTATTTTGAACATATATCTGTAATCAAATAACAAACTATAAATGTAAAAAATTAAAAATATTTTGACATATTAAATGAAATTAACTTTCTATAACACAATCCACACATTCTTTTCCTAAACTTTTCAAATGTTTTATAGCCTAAATAGCCTTGAGAATTACTGTAGTAAAACATGAATAAAATAATGTAACTACTGTGTTCATAAACCTCACAAACTAATTTTGTTGCAATGCATCACCTTAAAGAGAGAGAGAGAGAGAGAGTTTTCAGTGTTTATTTACATACTTGTATGAAAAATTAAAATATTTGGTTACAGTCAATGTGTTCTTTCAACATTTATTTTACTAACATTTCATTATATAATAAAGTCATACTTTTAATGGCCTACTATATTATACTGTGACATGTTGCGCAACGGAGAACCCTCCCTCCCACCAGCAGTGACGCGGCGGGTGAGTCAGCGCTCCCCTCCCCCCCTCCGCATGGTAACGTAACGCGCAACGCGCGGTGACGCAACAGGATGACGTGGAACCGGTTCCTACTGTGACGTGGCACTGATTCCTACTGTGATGCGACGCAACGACACTGTTGACGCGGGCAACAGGTAACAGCGAACGGGATATAAACCGGCTGAGCAGTAAGCGTGAGTTAGTTGTAATGTGGTCATCACCGAGTTCAGTTCCGAGTTAGTTCCGAGCAAGCCTACGAGCGAGTGTGTTATCAACAGTTCTCCAGTCAGCCGACTACAGTTGGAGTATAGCAGCCGTCACGGAAAGAAGAACCGGACGTGTGTGTGATTGTGTAATTGGGAGCGTGTGATACAGTGATACATAGCTCCCCTACTGTAAACGTGTAGACTACTGAAGACAGAGTGAGCTGATTTGCGAATAGGGTTATAAATCGTGAAACCCCGCAACAGTGTTAACAGATTAATGCGATTAGGGTTATAAAGTGTGAAACCCTGCAACTGTGTGATAATTAATTGTAGCTGTGATTTGTAGGTTGTTAAATAAACCAATTAACAATCCATACGACGTGCTCAGTAGCAAGACATGTGACAATACTATGCATTATCATGAACAGTCTACAAAAGTCAAGACACCAAATGCAAATGGAGTTCATTCAGAGTTATTTTATGACTGGTGGTTTACTGCCAACCAGTTCATATTTGCGACAAGCCCCTTGAGACCCATGACCAGAATTTTTATTTTCAAACTGAACACTTGCGGTTATAGTCCTTCTGTAACATCCCCCCTGATGAGAGGATGCATCTGTTGTTTACAATTGCTGCTGGGCCTCGCCAGCACAGTCATTCTCAGGTCTGAGTCCCACAGGACTCATTATCATATTTTACTGTCTGATTTGAGACTCACCCAACCTGGAGGGCCAGGTCCCCATATTTATATCCCCTAGGAACAGGGTTGCCCAGTTATACCCCCAGGCACTGGGTTCCGTTTTTGTCACCTTCTATGACTTGCAGGGCTACAGTGTGGATATCTGACCCTGCCTCCACAAGGGATTTCTCATCAAATATCCTCTTTTTTCTCACTGGAGTTCATGTTCTGTATGTAGCATACATGAGCAATAAGTTTAATGACACCTACTTGCAAGTATTCTTGTTTTTTCTTGCGCATAATCTCCAGCTTGTGTGCCATTTGCATCTGTCTGATCCTCTCTGCTTCCTCAGCCTGGCGGCGCAGTTTCTCACGATACTCTTCCCTCAGAGCATCCAATGCTGCACGGGCGTCCTTCACTTGTGCCAGTTTGTCTTGCAGTTCCTCATAATAAACTGCAACATCAACATGCTGTTTGTAAGTAAAGAAATAAATACCAATCTGACTTTTGTTAAATGCTCCTTTCCTTATGCTGTTTAAGAATTGAGATGCATCATTTACAGTGCCATGGTTACAGCTCCACTGCAATATGTGTTTCTTGATAATTGTAACCCCCTTTAGTAACTCACATTCATCATTTTCTTGCGTTATTACATCTCTCAGTATTTTATTGAAAAGCGATATCTTCTTAAGTACACACATAAGCGGCCTCCGTAGTCTAGGGGTAACGTTCCAACCTCATGACTCAAGGTACGGGGGTTCAAACCTGGCGGAGGTCGTGGAATTTTAAGGGCGGAAAAATTCAGGGAACAAGTCCTCCAGGAGGGACTTTAAGCCATGGGTCCCATGTTGTAAATTTACAGCACATAAAAGATCCTCATGTCTCTAGGAGACCTCTGAGCAAAATTAGGCAAAATGTTTCCTGCCCAAGTAGTATCCAATGCCTCCAGTAGATGGGGAAGTTATCGGGTATCAATGCCAGTAGAGGGCTGATCTCACTGGCAGAAAGGGGAGAGTTATTGGGTACCACTGCCAGTAGAGGGCCGACCTCGCTGGCAGAAAGGGGAGATAGTGGGCACCAGTATCAGTAGGGTATGGCAACAGTAGAAATTAAAGGGGGATGTATAATAAGACTATTAGTTGCAGTGCATGGGGAAACCCACCCCTTCTATACTGAATAACTGAAGTACACACATTTATTAAAGCACAATCTGATTTTTATATTAACTGTAATTTCTTTCTGTTTTGTGCTACCTCAACAGAGTTACACTAAGTTACAGGGAAATACTTTCATGCTAGAAAGCATTTATCTTAAATTGTATCTTCCTTTTATAATCTACTGTGACCACATAGCATCACTATACAAGGTGTAAGTGAAAGGTGCGGACAAACTCTGGACATGAGTTCCATGTATGAAAACAACAAAAATTATCCACATCAACACATGTTTGGAAAATTTCATTTGTGAGTTACAGCTGAAAGATTACATTTATAATATATGCTCAAAATCTCTTCCATGAGATTCAATGCTTGCCTCAACATGTCTCATCACGGACCACTGCAACCGAAGATGCGGGGGTAGCTGCAGATAGTCTGACAGGCATCTACAATGCGATGAAGTGCCATCTTGTTGGCAACAGGAGCTGTATACACAAGAAATTTCAAGTGTCCTCACAGGATTAAAATGTAGCAAGTGCGCAGGCCATGCAGTGTCCCCTCCTCTACCTATCCATCTGTCGTGATAGGTGTTTTTGAGAACATCTCACAGAGCGCGTCTAAAATGTTCCAGAATACCATCATGCATGTATCACATTCATGCTCTGACTACCAGTGATACATCTTCCTGCAGCTTTGTCAGATCATAAGAGGAAATTATTTTGGTAGTGGTTGCCGGTATGCTGACATTGCACTTGTTGGCAACAGGAGCTGTATACACAAGAAATTTCAAGTGTCCTCACAGGATTAAAATGTAGCAAGTGCGCAGGCCATGCAGTGTCCCCTCCTCTACCTATCCATCTGTCGTGATAGGTGTTTTTGAGAACATCTCATAGAGCGTGTCTAAAATGTTCCAGAATACCATCATGCATGTATCACATTCATGCTCTGACTACCAGTGATACATCTTCCTGCAGCTTTGTCAGATCATAAGAGGAAATTATTTTGGTAGTGGTTGCCGGTATGCTGACATTGCAAAAAAATGCAGGACTAATAATCACCACCAATCCCTGCCCACTCATTTCTGCTGAAATGCTACTGGTATCTATACACAGCATCCTTTCAGCTATAATTCGAGAATTAAATGTTTCCAGACATGCTGATATGACTTTTTTTTTGGTATGTGGAACTCATGCCCAAAGTTTGTCTGCACCTTTCTGTTACACCATGCATTAAAGATATCACAATCAGTGGCTTCAAATTTCCAGCCATTTTCCAGACAGTAAAAGAACACAACACAGATTCCCAATTCAGCTCAGCTGTCGTACACGCAACAAAATACACGTGAATTATTCAGTACGGCTCTATCCCTTTTGCAGCTTTAAAATTATTCAGATGTATGCAACCATGATCACTCATTTCAAATAAATATGAACGAGTATAAGCCAACCCAACCAACTCCATCACCTAATTGTTTACATGTAATGCGATTCCCGTCCTTTCCTTTGCCGAAAGCCGGCGAGTTTTCCAGATTCCCAGTTACTGAGTACCTTATACTCACCTCTGCTGTCATCCTGCTGCTGAATGTGCTTCAAGAGACGTGAATGCATTGCTGTGATATTCATGAACAGTGTCTGGACAGAGCTGTCATTTGCAATGCTCCGTCCTCTACTTGAATTGGATTTCATTCGGTTGACAAAGATTTCAACTTGCATCTTCAAGGTCGCAACAAACTCCTCCATCTCTGTATCTGTCTCCCCATTTTCATGACGATGTTGCTGATACAACAGAAAACATGCTTCCAAGATCCCACAATAAAATGCAACAAATCGTCACCTTAGATTGGAATTTCTGCATGATATATTGAATTGTGCCTGTCAGACTTCAATGTCAATGTTTATAAATAAATAAAACCAAACAAATAACTACAAAAACTAACGAAGTTTGCAAATCTTATCTCTTTATAACAAATGATGTAAATACAAGAGTCTCGTGACAAATTCACATTATTCATTTTCAATAATGTGTTGTTCAATAATGTTATCATCTTAAACCTGTCTTATTGAGCAGAACTGATTGATCAATTAACTAAACTAAACTAACTGAACTGTGGTAACAGACTCCATTGATTCAACACCCTAACACCAAAGCCCTCCACTGGAACAATACCAATCAAGCTCATATCTTGCAATCAGTTATCCTAAGATCCAGTTTCATATTATCCTTACATTTCATTCTTGGTCTTCAAATAAGTTATTAATATAAAGTTTCATGTTATATTTGTGCAACTAATTTGTACTGATTAATTTAACACTTGACAATTCTAGTCAGTTAAGCCTGAGAATGGACTTAACATGTATGTATTTTTCTAAATGGGAAAACTGGACTGACAACTTCTGCTCTTTGCGTGAGGCTCTATTTGTCTTATATATATTTTAATATCTTAAATTTTATATGTTATATTTAATATTGTATATTTATATTTATTGCATGTGATCTCTTATGTAAGACCATGTATGTGACAAATTTTATATCCAGCCCTACTGGGTAACAACTGGATATATGAAATGTAATTACAAATAAAATAAATAAAATAAAATAAACATATTAAAATTAAAAAATAATATTGAAGAAAAAAAGACTTGGTAACACAGCCTACTTACGAGTAAAAGCATCAAGTTTAGTCCTACTCTTTGACCAGTCAAACTGATGCAAGTGACAGAAAGCTTAAATTTGATTCAAAGCGATATAGAGCAGTTATGATCTTTCAATATTATTACAAAAGTTGTCAAGACAAAGAGGATAAGAGCAAATGTGGTATAAATCACAAAATTTTAAGTATATCTGTGTATGTTGTGACATTATATTTATGAATATCAGCGTGGTCCTATTGTAAATAAATGTTTTAAGACCTGAAAAGGTAGAATTTTTTTTTTTACAAAATACACGAACAAAACCAAATCACTTGTGATACAGAATTTTAGGACATTCACCATTCAGTGGTGTAAATTTATTGCAATGTTTGTAGTTGCACTCACAAGTTTGTTTGAAGGAGTTGTAGAGGACATAGGTGCAGAAGGCTGCTGGCTCAACGGACTGTCTACCCTACTCCCATTTCGATCTGATACATGATGAAGTTGCTTTTCATGCTGCTGTGCCTCTTCTGATTGACGCTGCTCCCAATATGAACGGTTCAAGTAGCGAGCAAGTTCTGGGTCTACATCATCCTCTGGTACTACCTGCTGTAGATTAGGACTGCCACTGATATTCTCCTGAAATAATGCAACTTCAATCTGATAATGTTACATCTCTGTCAACATGCCTTAACTAAAAGGTTCGTTTGTAGGGAAGGTGATCATTATATAAGCAATAAGATTATAATATCTACTAATGGAAATTAAATAAAAAGGTTTTGAAAGTGGGGCATTCTATATGTTTTTCAAATTTAGCACTATCTCAAAACTTTGACTTTGCACTTGCTTATATGACAACATTTAAGTTTCCCAGTGAAAAATCATTTCAGTCTGAAGAAATCAGTTACTTCCAAACTAAAACTAGGAATTATTTTACAATACGCATATATACCCTGGATGCTACACAAATTTCTTGTACTACAGTTATTCCAGCAAGGTAGGGTTCCCCTCTTCTATTATGATGATGTCAGTTTTTCAGTCAAATACTGCCATGACAGTAACTTGTTCTCAATCCCTCATTTCACATAACACTGAACATTATAGACTTTGAAGGATTCTGATGATGGTGTATGCTGTAGAGAACTATAAGGCTTATTTTGGACTCTATCCATCATCTGGTATATATATATATATATAAGACTAAAAACCACAACCAATCACTGGATTGATGCTAGCTCTTTCTAACAGGCCCAACTGAGTAGGTCTATCTTACCCCATCCACCTGAGGATGGAGACAGATCCAGTCTCCAAAACGTTGTATTTTTTTGTCATATATATACCAGATGATGGATAGAGTCCAAAATAAACCTTATAGTTCTATACTGAACATTATATAACTCTTACCACTAACGGGGTTTACTACAAATCCATGAAACAGTCACTAGAATACAGTACCTTCTTTTATATTTATGCTACCAAATTTTTAAGAGGATAGCGGTTAAACCAAAAAATGGTAGATTATCTATAACTTACCACAATAACACAGAAACTGTATAAAACCCACATTATTTCTCCATGTAATGATAATCGATAAACCACTAAGTGTAGATATACAGAATTTCGTATGGTGAAAATTACTAAAACATGGTGATGGTACTATATTCTGAAGTTTCAACCTTCAAACACTGGAAACATAACATATGGAAATTCAAAATGAGGACAGATTAGTTTGTATAATTATTAATTGATACATAAATATCCCTGAATATCAAATACAGGCTTCCAAAACCTATGCATTCAAAGCTGGACATACTTACACGATGATATTGTAAATAGCATGAGTGACTATAGATGAAGTTTCGATTGGTAATCAGATTTATTGAATATTATATTTAAGCATCCTGTTGCACTCCATACGATAAATGATATAACCTCCGTCTCAAGTGCAAACAATATATTCTTGTGTCTTTGATCTTGCTCCCTACACTGCATGTTTCGGCCTCAGACGGCCATCATCAGGTGTATAACACGTTGATTTATTGAACTCTTACAGATCATAACTACAAGTAACTATAGTGCTATTGCTAATTCACATGCTCAGCAGTTCACTACAGCATGTACTAAGCCTCCTCAGTCTGCTGTGTCTTCACCAGTTGTTGCCTGATAATGGTTTCCAACAGTGGATGTTCCCCTTATTCTGGGTCCATCACATAACTGGTCACATAGTGTTTGTTCTTGTCTCTGTAGTGAGTTCTGATGTGTCCTGTGATTGATAATCCCACCAACTGCAAAATTTGCTGTGTTATCCACTTTCTATATGATAAAAACAAGAGTGCTACAGAAATCCACTGTTAATTATGCACAGTTTATGGCCAAAATGTAAGACATGGTGTAGGATGTTCAAAGATAAGCGGGCGAACGAATGTTGACGACGAAGAACTAAGTGGTCAGTCTGTAAAGAGTGATAATTTTGTAAAATGTGCTGACCAAAACAATTATGAAAGACAGCTTCACAATTTCAGAACTTTGTGTGAATTTCCACAAATTTCACGAAATGTCTTCTAAGAGACTGTCACAGTTAGGCTATGCTAGGCTATCACTAGTTTTGTGCATGGGTTCCAAAAATGCTCATGGGTGCACACAAAATGCAGAGAATGGCTTCGGCTTTGACTTTTTCAGAAATATACCACAAAGAAGGCGATGACATTCTTAATCACGATGGAACCTGGGTTTCATTTGTGAATGCTGAAACCAAAGAGCAGTTAAAGCAGCGGATGCACACATTCACCAAACAAGCCAAAAAAGTTCAAACAAGTGTACAATAAGCATTTGCATATAGACGCTCGCACTTGACCACTGCTAGAGCATTTCAACTGCGGGGTGTTTGACCACCCTCATTTCAACCCTGATCTTGCTCCGAAATGACTACCACCTGTTTACCTGCCTGAAGGACTGATTGGGATCACTTACTTACTTACTCATGGAGCTCAGCCCTTCTGGAGGAGCTGCCAATTCTGCAGCTTCTCAAGAATTTCCCAGCATTTTATGGAACCCAAAGGTTCATTACCGTGTTCACAAGAGTCCTCCACTGGTCCCTATCCTGAGCCAGATCTATCTAATCCATATCATCCCATCTTATCTCTCTAAGATCCATTTTAATATTTTCCACCCACCTATGCCTTGGTCTTCCCTGTGGTCTCTTTCCTTCTGGCTTTCCCAACCAACATCCTATACGCATTCCCTGTCTCCCCCATTCGTGCTACATGACCTGCCCACCTCATCCTCCTTGACTTGATCATTCTAATTATACTTGGAGAATAGTACAAGTTATGAAGCTCCTCAATGTGCAGTTTACTCCAACCTCCTAT